TTGTGTTTCTTAACGCCTAATTCCTTCATTAATCCTCACATATGTCCCCAAGACGTTATTCATGCTGCGATACGCAGAATACAAAAGATAAAATGAGATTCCAATATAACTCTAGAAATAGTGGTACTGATGCATACAACTTAAAATTGTATTATTACAATTACTAAGTACAGACATGAACGTCCATAATGGTGTCCATTAATACTTATGGTATTCCTTCTCTAAATCAAATGTATATCTATACAGTGTTTATGTCTTGTATCATAATAGAGCATTATGAATATCCTCCTTAATATGATCCCCCTTTTAGAGTAAAACCTATCTTTGAGTCACCACCAGAATTTTTCACTTCACTGTATACATATACCAACGGTCTTATTCCTCATTTGAGAATCCTTTTTCACATTAAGGAACAGTAGCGGCTCCGTACAGTATGCATATTGACTTTGTCAGTTCCTTGTTTAGATAAGAAGCCTCATACTTCTCTAGAAGATATTTAGTGGAAAGAGTGTGGACTCCTCTTATGCATAATAAGATGTCAGTAAGACAGTGCATGAATGAACTGATTCATAAACATCCCTCATAAATAAATATAGATACTTCCATTAGTAATTACATTAACGCGCTCAAATAAAATATATTAATAAAGGACTACAGTATCGTTCCTAATTCCTAATAATCACATTTAAACCAGATGTCCCTATTCTTCATACATAAACGACAGTTGCCTTTATGTAATGTTACGGATAATAGTTTATACACAAAATAATTAACACGTAATGGAGAGATTATACAAAATAGGGCTATGTCTGCTCATATACTATCATTATAGTGATGAGTCCATTTTAGTAAAGCAGACATACACCAGAAGCTTCTTCCAACGCACCGATTGTCTCTTATATTCGTATCTGAACAGGAGAGGCGCCAATTTGTTCCTTTAGCGGGGGTGAATTATTCCGCTAAATTCCTTTTTAATTTTGATAGAAGCATCCCTCTATGCGCATACAGATAGCTATACTAAGTGAATATCGCAAATTGACAACCAATAAAAAATATTTAAAATATTCCTATCAGAGATTGGGAAGACATTTTCTTGCAAATTAATAATAAACATGCTAACAGCCATCTCGCGGCTAATTATCTGCTTCCTTCTTCCAAGTAGTAGCAATAAATTACTGATAGATTTGTGATTTAACACATAAAGGATCAGCCAAATAATGTCTCCACAATGAGGGTATACAGTATAATATATAATAGTCATAGATATAATGTTATAGAAAGAGCATGTTTATTCAGACTGCACACAACATTAATACAGGAAGATAATCTAACAATTCCGATATAAACGATTGATTGTACGTAATGATATTATAATCGGTATATATTGTAAGTATAAGTAAAAAATCTCTCAATTTCGTTTGAACTATGTGAATACAACAAACTAATGAGCGCTATTTAGATCTGTGTACATGAAGAAACAAATAAATTAGAACCGCAGTATTAATCTTCTACCTTTCTGACAAGGCTTCATAGCTCTGTCTGTAGAAAAGCAGTAACAAGATCTATACTATTTACCCGTTTCCTTTCGTCTGTATTTCTAGGTGGTGATATCAGAGTGATAGACTTTGTTTTGCAGGATAAGACATAAAATACGAACAGTCATAGTATGAATATATCACAGTTGTGCCTGATGAGTAGTAAAAGGCATGATATCTCCACTTGCAACTCTTATTATCCTCAATTGAATACAAAGGTTAATTTATTGGACGTCATATATACATATATTTTCTATGAGCAGAGGAGGCTTCCACAACACCAGTAGAATTCATAACCGACAGCATATCTTCTCTAAGAGTGGATCCAACAGTTACGAAGTACTCTCCTATAATCGCCTGTACTCCAGAGTCATATGTACAAGTTTCTTGTAGAAGCAGGGAATCAAGTGATAAATACAGATCATTCAACTTGTGTTGGCTCATTTTAATAAAAACATTCAAAGAATTATGAAGAAGCAAACGTATTGTGTAACTCTCCCCTAATATCCATATTATTAAGAGAGATCCACTAGTGACATAGACAAAGAGGAAGATACATATTTGAATATGAGAGGCAACTCATGGGCAACAAATCTTACAATAGTCTAGATTAACATTAATATAGATGAAAATGTGCTTTATAATTAGGCGCGTCATCGCCGCATGTATAACTCGACGATTTAGCAGACATATCCTATGGAAAAAAGATAAGGATAAAACAGCCAAGTAAATAGCACTAGATCAGTAAGACGCTTGTCCCTCTGTATATATCTCAATAAAAAAGACAGACGGAGTCTGAACATTGACTGTTTCGTATTTTTATATTAAGAAACTTAGGATATATTGAATATGGACAGAATAATAAAAACTCTACAGATATATGTCTTATTCTATCTTCCCAAACACATAAGATGAGACCATAAAGAACAAATAAGAAGAAACACCTTAAAAAGAGCCAGGAGGCACACGATTACCACAGAGACAGGAACAACATAAGGTAACTCAAAGGGGGAAGGACACCACTTGGACAAAGGCAGTGGCCGATGATGGCCATGAAAGGCAGCGCAAAGTCCAGAATATAAGACCACAGCAGAAACCATTAAGTGGTGAACGGTAAAGAATACACTTTAAAGAGTGATGACAGAACGAAAAACAGGGAGGATAACCTCATAGGGATAAGGCATACACAATAGATCATACACCATAAGGACACAACGTTCAAGGCTAAGTGATAGAACAGAAATAGAAACCATAAAAACTAAAGAACAAGCAGTTGACCATGACGCCACAGATTAACAGCTGTAAAAAGTACACGTGATGGATAAGGAAGCAGCCTTCAGGAAGATACACTGAGGAATGATAGGATAAAATGCAAAACAACACCTTAAGGCGTAAACCATAGCACATCTACCTGAGCAAAAAACAGTACTCATAGACTCTGCATGGTACACCTGGGGCGTGCGAGGGAAGCCATATAATTCATCAGGAACACATAAATCCTGAAGGTATCCAATCGGGCGGTATCCCATAAGGATAAAGGGGCAATCATGAAATCTAAAACGGGAAATGCCGAAATACAGAACAGGATCCTAAGCGCTAATAGAAAGAAGATAACCGAGAAGGACAAGAATGACGCCGTAGCCATGAAGAATTAAACATAGGGATGGACGATAGAGGGTTCCAATACACCATAAGGGAGAAGCATCACAAGTACACCATATAGGCTGAAACCTAAACCATGAATCCGGAACCCCAAAACATACAACCCAGACAATAAACCCTACATAGTAAAACCGTGAAGATGGTCACAAAACAGATGAAGCCTAAGGCCTAAAGCCGGGGCACGGACAATTACTTATTTGAAAATACAGATAAAGACTAAGCAGTGAAAACAGCACCATGACAAGAGACTTAAACATTGAGGCGTACACATAGGAAATAGAGCATCAGTCGTAAGATCAGGACTCAAACCATAAGAATAGAGGATAAAACATTAACCTTAGACATTACACAGTAGAGAGTGCAACATACAGAATAGCAGCATAGGCTACAACAATGAGGTGGGGACTCGATGCCATCCATAAAAAAAGGCTGACACATGAGCTTACGCGGTCAAGCGTGAGTCATCTCAATACATGCAGAAGAAAGCAGAACTACACGTGAACCATATACAGGAAGATGTACTCCATAACAGTAAACAATAGGATGTGAGACTTCAAAATTAGAGGATGCTACCAAAGGGAAGAAGGGGGAAAGAAGGGAAAGGAGGCGTAAGATGTAGTAAGCCGAATCGAAGCCATAAAGACAAAGCGTAAGAGGAAACAGGAGCTATAAGACAGGGGCCACCAAGAATAAGGCGAAATCAGAAATAGTGACAACATACACCAGCCGGATAAAGCTTATCCCCTGAGGGCTTAGTGGTTAGGAACAACAGAGGAGAATAGTACTGGAATCTTGGATCATCAACCATGAACCATAAATCATACATGAGACACCATGAACCAGGAAGTTTACGCCTTGCCAGATAAAGCTAATAGCGTAGGCTCATAGAAGAAAAGCAGAAATCGGGAGCTTAAAGAGGCAAAACTGAGGCGTGAACAGTAAACGATAAAAGCTAAGGGTATGACGATAAATGAATAAGACAGACTAATGGAGCCGAAACAAAGAAGCTTGAAAGATGAAACTCTAAAGAAGGAACTCTAAGCACGAATCACTGAGAGGGAAAAGTTGGCATATAGTATACATATGCACAGTCCATCTGAGGAATCAAGGTACCCTCAAGTACCCGAAGCATAAAAAAGAACAGAGGAAATCTGAGGGAAAAAACCTAGATCACAAAGCATAGACCCCTGAATACTAAACCTAAGACCTTGTTGAGGAGATCTAAGCGTAACAGGCGAATGCATAAACATAAACCACAAAAAATAAACGCTAATTAGTTGACCCTGAGCCCACAAGCTCAAACCCTAAACCCTAAAAGTGAAGCGTCAACCCTGAAAGCAAAATGCTAAAAGTTAACCCTGAAGCATATACCCTGAATGCTAAACGATAAATCGTCAATCGTAAACCATAGACCCTAAAGACTGGGCCCTAAACCCGAAATCGTGAAGCAGCAAGGTTAAGCAGTGAACGCAAACCCTAAACATGAAGCCCTAAAACATTAACCCTAAGCCCTGAACGCTAAAGCCTGAACCCTAAACCTAAACACTAACCCCTAGACCTTCCTTAACCTAAGATGCTGAAATCATAAACCTTGGCCCGGAACCCTAGAACATGAACCTTGAACCCTAAACAACAACCCAAAACAGTAACCGCGAAACCGTGACCCCAAAGCTTAATCCTAGAAGGTAAACTGCGACCCCAAGAACCTGAATCCTGAGCTGGACTGTGGACGCCTAACCCCAAACCCTAAGCCTATATGCAGAACTCTAAACCCAACACCCCAATCATAATCCGATTCTAATGTTATCTCCTTGAATACCCCAAAGTCCTTGAAGTACCTGACTTCCTTTCGCTTGTTGACCCTACTCTATTACGACGAAATATTCTATACAGTCCATAGCCTGCCCCCAGTCCTAACACTACAGAAGCACCACCTCCTAGGACTCCTGAAATCAAGCCCCCGGTGCCTCCTGTTCCCTCCATCACTCCCGACCCCGTGGATGAGACTCCCGCTTTAGAACCCAGCTCTCCCTGAGCTAGGTCCTGCCCCTCCTTGGATACGGTTGCCGAGCTCCTCCCAGCCCCATCTGAACCCATCGGCGTTGTTCCCGGTTGTGAGTTCGAGGATACCCTTGAGACTTCTTGGCCTGCTGTACTCGTGGAGTCCCGTTTGGTGGTGTTCTGTCCTGTTATTTCGGTTACAGATTGGATGTCTCCACTCAATCTCATGTCACACCAGTGAAGCCCCTTCGGTCCCTGAATCTTAGAAGTCTCCTGGCACGGTTTACAGCCAAAAACCTTATCCGCCTTATTGCTTCCCCAGATAATCTCCTGAACCAATTCAAAAAAATCCTTTCCTTTTATTATATACCCCTGTCCCCCCGTCTCTATTTTAACCTGTTGGGTATACCACCCTTTCATTATCATTTTTGCCACCTTGGGACCACCCCACGTCTCCAATTTCCTATATATTGATTCACATAACCCCCCTTCCTCTTGTTCTGCTATTTGAAACTCTGCTTGCCCATATCCTATTCTGAAAACCTCAACTATCATCTCCACTATATCTTGACATACCCTCAACCTCTTCCAAGAAGAACTGTTTTTGCTCAATCCATTTTGCGGCGTATACTCAATCCACTCCGGCGATATTCCTTCGCTTCTGCACTTCCCGGTTGCTGTCCCTCCTCTCAAGTTGAGCCCAAGCCCATCAATGCTACAATCCGGACTCTCTTCAAACGTATCAGCAGCATCTCCTGTTCTCACCAGATGCATAGCCCACTGCTCTATATTTTTACAAACGGAATGACTACTTCGGATGATTGCGTTCACATCGCTCCCCTCCCCCGACCGGATATACTCTTCTGACCATTCGTCCTTCTCAGCCGTATCGAATTTCCCTTGGCGGATCCTACATAGTCTTGAGTCTGATGCCTCAGATCCCTTTTGACATCTGCCCTTTGTTCCTTCGTCTAGAAGATGCTGCATATATCTTGAAAATGGAAACCCCTTCTGACCCATCTCTGCTCACTTATCATTCAGGAATTGAGAAATTGACTTCAGGAGTTTCTTATGGAGTCCCGTCGCTAGAATTGTGCCAATGAGGTCTGGAACGGTTGGATTATTCCTCTCCTCGGAGGGGCCTATTCACCTCTGTTTGATGACTCGTTCTATTTGTTCAGATGGAGGGCCCTCCACTCGTCAGACGTCTATTGGGGATTCTGGTCAGTTAGCATCTTCCCTCCCTTCTTTCCCTCCAGGGGGGTGGGTTGATCCCATCCTCGGGTGAAGATCGGAGGTTTAGCCTTAGGGATGCTGGGCTCGCGGTTTCATTTAACTCAGATTCTTCATCATTTCCTGCTTCAATTGCTCCGAACTTACGTGAAAAGTCTCGAGCCCCGTTCTGTTCGTCACCTCAACTCTTTCCTCGGATAGCTCCGCAAGCGATTATGGTTGTGAAAGAGAGGTCGTCTATAAATATGTGGCTAATGTCTACTGCGATCTGAACTATATCTCCCTCGTCGGCAGCTGAACTCCTCCTTATCCTATCCTTGTCGGTCTTCTTTGAGCTTTAGGCCCAAGGAAAGGCTCTTTTTTGCGTCACGGTTTGCCGTCGCGTCGGATATCCTTCATATAGGTTCCCCGCTTCCTGATGCCCTCTAATTCTTAATGAGCCTCCTTCATCTCCTAAAATTACTCCTTCAGCTGTTGGAGCTGGGGCGACCTTCCCTGAACCTCCGCGATTCCCCCCCACTTCCCTCGTCTCTAGGGTTCCTAGTCCGTCATTGCTCGTTATGCCCTTCTTCTCTCGCTAAATCTACTCCGTAGCGGGACGCTCGTGCTCATTCGGCATATCCTCGCGACTTTTGAACCTTAGGGAGTTGAATGATTGAGATGACTTCCGATTCTTCTGACTTCCCTCTAGGTTGACGCCTTGATGTTACGCACCTCCTCTCACTGACTGGGCTCTGATTAATTGGAATGATAACTCCTGGGGGCTGCTGTCTCCTTCCTGTTCAACTAATAGTTGTCCTGGTTCTCGTACTCCTGACTTGAGTGACTACTGGCCGTGAAGGATTTTTTGCCTTTTCTTGCTTGTCTGGAATATTCCGGAATTCCCCCTTCCTGAATTCTGGTTCAGCAGCTGTCCCCCTTCCTTTCCCCATCGAAATTTCCGCGCCTTATTTCTATACACCTTGAAGTAAATAAGGGCTTATTTCTACTTTCTTGGGATGCATTATCTTCTTCTGCGTCACCCAGAGAGGAGGAAGGGAGTTCTCCTTTGAGGAAGCTTAATCTTATTGACAGCCTTTGCTTAGTTGTTTCTCCTCCTACCCTTACAATTTGCCGATGGACCTCAGCAACCGCCGGTTGCTCCTGTTATGGTCAGATCTGGCCATCCCTCTGCCCACTCAGATTTCTACCCCTAATCCTGTATGTCATGTTGGACTTTTCTATTTAGACTTCCCCTTGTACATGATCACGCCTCCTTCCATCCTTTTTCCCCTTTCCTCAGACTCTTCTGACTAGTGATACTATAATGTCTTACCCTGGTTCCGGAGTCGACCTCTCCTCAGGTGTCTAGAGCCGGGAAGTTCATTGTTCGTTGTCTTGTCCAGGGACCGAAAACTATTATAGGTGATTGGGCCTGTCGGCTGATAATTAGATATTTCATTGGAGCCTCCTCTTCGCACTCAGGAGGTGCTAATATTGACTCAGAATTCCCCCCCGCCTTCTCAGATAGAGTTGGTGAACTGTCGAGTTATTTTCTCAGGAAGATTTCCTCCTTGGATTGATGATCCAGTCAATGCTGGGTTGTTCTGGCTCTGCCTTCTCTAAATTCTACGTTTAGAGGTTGCCTCTTCGCGAAATGCTCCTGCTAATTCTCAGCTATCCCCTGAGAAATCACTCCTTAACTCATGGACTAGGGTCTTCATGTTTGTAGTCCATCGATTTGATCCTTCCCTGTTTTAATGCACCTGTTGGAGGGTCTGTTCGCGTCGTGGACCCGCTATTTGGAACCGGGAGGCTAGCTTATCACTACGGCTTCTGGGTTAGTTGGGTCATATTTTTACGCTACTTGAATCATCCCTCCACTGCTCTTGTTGTTGTTGGTCGGGTGGATGCTTCTCTTAGGGTTGATTCTAATTGCACACGAAAATTTTCTTCTGTCATCTCTCCCGTTCTCGAGATAGGGAGTACCATATCTTCGGGATCTGGAGGTATTCTGTTGAAATAACTGTGGGCTCCAAGTCTGTCGGCTGCGTATTAGATCTGCTTGTTTCGTAATGGAGACCCTCAAGACTACTTCTTTGAGGAACCTTGAGTTAATCCTGCCTCTTTTTCTCTGATTGGTCTTTCTTGTTCGGATGAAATCTACTTCTGTCTAGTCCTGTTGTTTTTCGGCTGAGACTCATTTATTGCTGTCCTGATCTATCTTGGCGTATCTGATTTTCCGTCATCTTGTCCCATTAGGAATTATTTGGCTTGGATTCTGTATTCCTCTACGCTCTATTTACCTCGAAGAATTTCCTTGTTAGTTCCTTCTCTGATGAAGTCTTTGTTTTCCCTTTCCCTTACTGAATCCTACGCATCTACCAGATGAACTTCCTGAAATTTTTCACTATGATATAGCGCGGAATCTGTTCCTGATTATATTCATGTCGGATTAGTAGGTGTCTTTTGATATAATTGCGGGTTTACGTCCTTTTGCAGGAGATTCTGATCTCCTCTTGCACTCCTCCTCATAGTTTGACTTCTTGACTTTTTGGCTTTGGGGGAGGAAGCTTTAATTGTGGTCTCCTTTGTGAGACTTGCCATCTCTCCTCTTTTTTTGATTGATCTCAGACGATCATATCCATCCTACTTCCTTTATTGGCTCATGTTAAATTTTCCTACTTATTCTGCGGTTCTGTCTTCGGAAGGAGGCTATTTTGTCCGCTTGAGTTGTGTGATCTAACAATTACGTCTGGCTTCTGATACAATGATGCTGTCGATTAGTCGTTTATCTCCTGGATGCGAGCGGGTTGAGCACCTATCAGGATTTCATTTGAGGTTCGGTCATTAGTCCTCATCTTGACTTTCATGGAGTTATATTGTTATCTAACATTTAGATCATGTTCAGGGACGATTTCACGCCCGGTTCATGGATTTGGAGGTGTTTACTGGCCCCTGCCCTTTTCTTT